TTTAAATATTTCTATATAATAAACAACATCAACCGAAGTTCATATAATGAACAAAAATTCATAATAATATTTATAAAAAAAATGAATTATTATTCACAATAATTTTTAATAATATTTTCACTATTTAGATAATTATATATGTAAATTGTGTACTACAAAGAAAATTATACAATTACAATTTGTCAACAAAAGATATGTGGAATATAATACAGTTATATAATATAATTTTATAGTTTGCAAATGAAACACCGACAGGGAGAGCAGCCGAATATCGTCTATTAAATAAATATTTAAGCATATCGAATATTTATAAAGCAAGCTTGCAAAAAAAAAAAAAACAACAACGAACTTTTGTTGCCTATTCAAAGAGTGCTAGGCAAACAGCTTACATAATTATATGATAGCTATGCCATACTACCGTTACTCGATTGATGCCACAATGCAGAGGAAACAAAGTCGTGTACTTGACCGACTTTGCAATTGCACGGTTTTCTGGTCAAAAGGCAAACAGGGAAACGAACAGCACAAAGTGAAAATCAAGTAGCCGTCATGTGTGCTCGGCTATTATTAAAAATGCAATGCTATTAATATAAAATAACACACGCTGAACCAGCTCAGCTCAGCTCAGCTCAGTATTGGTGAGCTAGACAACGAGCGGGAGGGTGAGAGAGAGAGAGAGAGAGAGAAATAGAGTGAACTGCACAGAAGTTGGACTACCTTTGGATTAAAACAACAATTAAATTCACATAAAACAAAATATCCTGCGGTGCTTTTTATGTGTACGCTTGTAATATAAATCCTTTCGGCTAATGGGAGCAACACACATGCTCTCACTCTCTGGCTGCTGTCTCGCTCTGGCGCGCCTGGCTGTGGCATTGGTGAAAGCTGCAAGGGCCACGAGCTCAACGAAAGTTGCTCACAGCAGGCGGTTTCTTTTGTCCCGAAATAGGAGGGCAAAAAAAAACACACACACACACACACAGAGAGAGAGAGAGGGCGAGGGAGACACAAACACACACAGAGCGCGAGCTCAACTAGCGAAATGAACTGAAAAACGCAGCAAGGAGAGAGGAGAGCGGGACACAGAAAGCTTGTGGCTGTGTGGTCGCTCTCACGCGCGCTGTGTGTGTGTGTGTGTGCGTGTGTGTGTGTGTGCTAAGCAGAGGTTAAGCAGCGCGCTCGCTTGAAGCTTCTAATGAACAAAATGTGCATGCGAATGAGCAACGAGTGAGGGGCAAAAGCGCGGGGAGGCGTGTGCCGAGGGCGGTGCACAATGTAAAATATGCATCCTTCGTGTGTGATTAAGCGTAAATCCATTTTATGTCTCTCTCTCTCTCTCTCTCTCTCTCTCTCTCTCTCATCCACACACAATCGCACACGGCAAAGCAAAACGGCAAAATGTTGAAAATTAAGTGCATTTTCCTAAATCTTAAGGCCAACCTAATTGTTGGTCATACGTACACGCGCCTTCAAAAACACGTTCCCCAGCTAATTATTAAATGAATCTCTAACTGTAC